CAGTTGCCATTCCTACACACACACAAACATAATTATATCTTTTTAAAAAAATCCATTATTGCTGGCCAGTAGTGGCACACTCCTTCAATCCCACCACTTGGGAGGCAGAGGCAGGAGGATTTCTGTGAGTTCAAGACCAGCCTGGTCTACAGAGTGAGTTCCAGGACACCAGGGTACATAGAGAAATCCTCTCTTAGAAAACCAATAAAAAAAGGGGGGAGGGGGGCTGGAGAGATGGCTCAGTGGTTAACCGACCTCAGGTTCAGTTCACAGCAGCCACATGACAGTCACAACTGTCTCTAACTCCAAAACCTGACAACCTCACAGACATACATGCAGACAAAATGCCAATGGACATACAATTAAATAAATTATTTTTTTAAAAGAAAAACCTGGGGCTGGAGAGGTGGCTGAGAGATTAAGAGCACTGGCTGCTCTTCCAGAAGTTCCGAATTCAATTCCCAGCAACCACATGGTGGCTCACAACCACCTGTAATGAGATCTGGTGCCCTCTTCAGGCATGCAGGCATACATGCAGGCCAGAACACTATATATAATAAAATAATAAATAAATAAATCTTAAAAAAAAAAAAAAGAAAAAAACAAAATAAATTTATTATTAAAAACATTTAGGGAGTGGGCAGGCAGTGGTGGCTCACACTTTTAATCCCAGTACTCAGGAGGCAGAGGCAGGTGGATTTCTGTGAGTAGGAGTGTAGTGGGTAGCCATTCCAGCTTGGTTATGGAAGTTCCAACCCCCATTGAGACTCTGGCAACTGTCACGCCTACGAGGCGGGGCGAGGGGAGGCGCCTGGGGACCCAAGAGCTGGATGGGCCAGCGCTCGCTCTGGGCGCTCTCTTGGTGCCGGAAAGCTGACCGGTGCAGATTGACTGTACAGAGCTCCGGAGAACACCGCTGGACTGCGTTACACCTTCCCCAGACCCTGCGACCTACCCATTACTTAATTTGTGAGTTACACCATTAAATAAATATCCTTTTAACTACGTGGAGTGGCCAAAATAAGTTCTCCAATATAGGAGGCCAGCCTGGTCTACTGAGTGAGTTCCAGGACAGCCAGGGCTTTGAAACAGAGAAACTCTGTCTCAGTCACCCTATGAAAGATACAATTGGGACACTCGGGAGGAGCACGTGGAGGAAGGAAGGAGTGGAAGGCATAGAGATATAGTCCTCGTGGGAAGTTATCAAAAATAAAAAGAACAAAAACCAACACATTTATATTGTATACTCTTATTAGTTATTTATATTAGGGATTAACAGTATGTCTGTTACACGCAATACATCATACATGTGTGTGATGAATTTATAATGTGTACATATATTTCTGTATCTGTACACAAATAGGTCTGTATATGCAACTAGCAAAAAGAAAATCTACATTTATTTTTTAAGACATAGAATTTATACCCTGCTTTTGCAGCGGGCTAAGAGTGAAATCACAGTCTTCATGTCAGTTTCTTCAGGGCTGGGGCCAGGATAGATTCCCTGTGACAAACACACACAACCTCAGCAGTAGCACCCACACGACTTTCAAAGAGCAAGTCCCCTCACTTTAACAGTGAACACACTGCAGTGAAATCCACGCTATAAACTCACTGTCAAAAATTATTTGTGAGCATCATGAGGATGAGAAACAAAACTTCTGCGACTGCTTTGCAGACCTTTCCTGGGAGTCTATCGATTTACACTACCAGATTGGAGCAGGTGGAAGGTGAGGCTAGCCAGAGCTTTATTCCCGTCAACCCCAATCCCACCACCACTGACACTCTTAGTCCATCCCATCCTTACCCAGCATGTAAAGTAGACCTACCTTTTACATTTACATGAGCCTTTTTCACAAAGTTCTTGTGCCAGCAAGATGATAAAGTTGATGCATTTTTCTCAACAAATACAATTGGCATTGTCTTCCTGTCTCAAAAAAGGTTTTGTTTCTTTCTTTCTGGGTATCAAAACCATAGCCTCCTGTGTGATCGTCAAGGACTGGACTACTGAGCCACACCCAATCTTCTTCACACTACTAATCAATAAACTCCAATACACCCCTCTGCCATCACAGTACCTGTATGGCTAATATTGAATGTCAATTTGGCAGGATCTTGAATGCAAACAGACCTTTGGGCATATTTATGAGGGAGTTTCTCGACTTGGTTCAATATGGTTGGAAGACCAACTCTGAAGGTGGATGGTATCATTCTGTGGGCTGGGGTCTTGGGCTGAAAGAAAGGAGAGCGTGTGCCAAGGAAC